GTATTTCTATTTTTAGGAGAGGAAAAGCCAGCAATCCGGGGTCATAAAAGGCTGATTAGTGACTTGGTGAAGCCAAAAAGATAAGTAGAAGAATGCAAGAGGACTCTCTTTTATCCATAACAAGCTTTTACTGCATTGCAAGTAAATAAGGGAATTTGTCAAAAGCATTTTACTAAAGAATTTGTAATCAGATTAAAGTTAATAATATGCAAGATGATGAAAATGATCAGTTATGGAAACAATAGAACTAAAACAAAAGAGTAGTTACAAATGATGGAATTTTAATAGAGACTGACATTTTCAAAAAGAAAGGTCTTGTTTAACTTGCTGTAATTCTTTGAACAATGAACACAGTCATTAGATAAAACTGAAGCATGTGCCATGATATATTTAGATTACTGGAAAGCTTTTGAGGCCCCCCCATAAAAACTTTAGTTCCCAAATTAAAAGCTTACAGAATTCAAGGTTATGTACGAACATAGATCAGGAAACAGTGTTTTATCTTAATAGGCATAGCCTCTAACTGGGCAGATGTGAGTAGGGGTGTGCCACAGGGATTTTTTTTAGGTTAAATGCTCTTCCTGATTAATATTGAAGATTTCAATTTTTGTACAAGTAGCAAACTAGCTAACATTACAGAAGCAACTGCAAGTGGCAAATGACAGTTAACATTGATAAGCACAAAACGATCCATACTGAAAGCAGGAACATACAGTACACTATACAGTAAATAGTCCTAAACTGCAGGAAGGATGGAAGAGATTCATGTGTTTATGTAGTTACAGTACTTTAATATCCATATCAATACAGTGTGGGGAATCAATATAAAAGCAAATAGAATCCTCGGACATATAGCAGAAAGAGAGAAAATTAAATGGGGGAATATATGCTTAAGCTCAATCCGTTAAGACCTCATTTAAAATACTGTGTTCGGTTTGGTCACCATGTGACAAAAATGACAGACATAGAGATTTCACAGAAGAAAGGGAAGAAATATTCCCGGTCTCAGGGGATTGTTATACACAGACAGCTTAAGGAAGCTAAATCTCTTCAGTCTAGAATAGACGGCACTGAGACAAGACTTGATCCAGGTATACAGTATACAATCCTAAAAGGAATGCAGAAGGGTCAACATGGGGAACTGTTTAACACTCAATATTGAAACAAGGACACTAGGTCAAAAGTGAACATGAAATGGGAATTTATGTATATGGAGTATGGAGTATGAAATGCTTCTTTCCAAAAACAAGTTCTGGGTGTCTGGAAGAGGCTTCTCAGCCAAGTGGTTGAAGACCAAACACTGCCACTCCACACAATGGCTGGATGAAATTATACTCTTGTTTGTCCTTATGTTTTTATGATGCATTTGTACATTAATTAAATTGTCACATTGTGACACGAAACAAGCACTGCAAGGCCAATTCACAGCATCACAGTGGACACACCACTGATATACACTGTCATTTCTCTTTGTTACACTGGCATTATGGTGATAGAAGCATTATGATCAACAATACAGTTTGTGTATTCCTTGTGCTCAATATATACACAGACATAGGGTTAAACAAACGAGTAAAGCAACTCGATATTTTTTTTAGAAAAAAGAACAGATTTAATATACAGTATTCCTGAATTTTCTGCACTGCATCTGAACTGTCACTTGGAAAATTATTTGTTTTTCTGTAATCCCTACATCACTTGAAAATGAATTAGTTGCTGCGTCTGACTGAAACTTTTAAAATCTCGTTTTAAGCTTGAGATACCATATCTCAAGCTTATAAAACCACATAAAATATCTGGGTTACAATGAAAGGAGAGTATGTTTCTTTAGACATACTAACTATAGGTTTATAAAGTGTTTGGGTTGTGCGTACACCTAATTCTCTCTAAAACATCAAAGAAGCAAGAGGTCTACTGTCCTGAAACATGTTTCCAAGTATAACATGTAAAATCCGCTTACCTTCTACCATAAATCTCTGTGATTTTCAGGTAATGATGGGGTATTAAAATTAAACTGCCTAACCTCTTGACTGACTTCCCTTTCAGAAAACTAAAAGCACCTGTCAAAATGTCCTTTCAGATTAATTCTAAAACATATCATTAAAGTGCTGCATTCTGGCAGCGGCCCATCCCAGGGTTTTGATATTTTTCACAGGAATGCATTTGCTTTTCAAAGGCACAGCACTTATCAAATCTGACGATGTATAATTTCATAATGGTATTAAGATGAACTTGTGCCTTTCAGTTTTCCCTAATCAATCCGTAAGTTTGCCTTTCGAGTTGTCCTGTTCTAAGTATATTACTATTAAATTTGTATTAAGATGTATAATAACTTTATAAAATTATGATAATAATTGATTTTTTTTTCCAAAAAAAATAGCCTTGTTGTTCTGTGAACCCTAAGGATTTGTATTTCAGCGCATGTTCATTATAACAGGGCCAATTTCCCAGAAGACTAACATCATTAAAGACACAAAAATTCAAGTTGGATCGAAAAGCTGGGATGTCCCTGCAGTTCTCATTTACAATGCAGACGAGATAGGGTAAGAGACATCCAGAATGGAAACAAATGACACTAGAAATGCATTTTTGCATTTTCAAAGCAAGAGGAAATCCAGAAATCCAAATATGCAATAAACTGTTTATGGAAAGTTTTTTTTTCCGGTTTTATTTTTGATAAACAAAATAGTTAAAAACACAAAGGAGTTGGTTTCCAAAACGGCTTTGGCTTTGAGGTAAAACAGCAGTGTATTCTACAATAGGGCAAGTGCAGCCTTACTTTCATGCACTGCAACAAAAAGGGAATTTTACACATCTGAGTTTAAGATTACAGGGCACATACTACCATTCCTTTCACCCTCTTCCTTCTGCATTATGAAGATTATGGTTCTGAGGTTCTGGGAAGTCATGAAGTTGGAAATTGAAACAGACATCTAGTAGTGTTCTTAGACTGATTTTTTAGCTTTCAAACTGTCAATCTGGCAAAGGCTACAGTAGAGCGACAAGTTTATATACTTACTGCTACCCCCCAGAAACCATAAATGAAGTGAAATATGAAAGAGACAGTTTATCCCAGCAGGGATACTCTGTAAAGAGCAGCTGTATCTACTTGGACTCAAATTCATGTTTCGTATTTCCGTGCTGAGATAAGAAGTCCCATCCTTTGGTTGAGCCATTTAACGTAACATTAGTGTGTCTATGACTACAGTGCTTAGGTCATTAAAGATGCCATAGTCCTGTTTGTAAGAGTAGGGGTGTTAACTGCTCTGGGTTTGCAAAACCTGGCCTATATAAAGTCAGCAGGTGATGCAGTTTCGTATTTCTGCCTGCTAGCATAGTTGAAGCTGCACAACAATAATGCACACGCGTCAAACACAGGTGGGGGCTGTACTTCAGTTGAGGATTAAGAGTCCCTTCATATACTGTGGGTAAAGGGATGGGGATACTTTGGGGTGAAAAATGCTATCATAATCATTGCATTACATTGCTGTAGTCATAGCTGATGTCTGACTAGCTCACAGAGCATGAGATGGCAGTTAGACCAACAAATCACTATACTAGCTAAACCTCTTAAGTGCATAACCCATTTATTCACACAATTATAAAGGCTTAAGTCCTTTCTAAATTTACACAGAGGTGTGGTTTGTTACCCAAAACAAACTGTTTGAAAGGCGGTGATTAACAGTTCTATTTCATATACCACAGACACTGAGTCTTTACTTTATCACATACTTTATTGAACTTAGACTAAATTGGAAACCACAGATTTTCAGCAGTGCGCTGCATATCGCACAAAGCTTTTTCTTCAAAAATGAAAAGGAAATGATCAAATAAACGTTATTGTGGTACTTTAAAGAACATACTCCTACTTCTCTACAGCACGTTTACAGCTTCCTGAAAAACAAATATTTTTGCGCCTTAAAGGAATGTTGTGCTTATTTTACATCAACATTATCTTTTGGTCAAGTCTCTTAGTGAAACAACTTTCATGTTCTGCACGCAAAAAAAGTAATTAGTTTGCTTTTCTTACTACCACCCTCGCTGTAAAGCTTTATCTAAATGAAAATCACTTTTAAATTGCAGTGTTAATGCTAACTTCAGTGCAGGAATGTTGTGGGCATACCCGTATGCATTAGGTCTAATGCAGGCCATCTATCAACAAAATAGTCTCTGACAGTTCAGCAGGGACATACACACACTTAAATGAGGTACAGGAAATTTAATGAAATTTTGTCTTACAGAACTGAATACACTTAATATACAATAAAGAGGGGCCCATTGCATTTTTCAAGTCCCTCAAAAATGAGTAGCTCAAAGAAAAATGTAAACAAATGAGGTTTACAAAAGAAAAATGTAAACATGAAAACTGACTTAAACAATAATTTAATATAGCTGTTGGATAGCAAAAAGACAAAAAATAAAGAATGCACTGTTATGTCTTATAAAGTAGAAGGTTTTAATTTTGATTATCCACAAATAATTTGGATAACTTAAGGTAAGGTAAGGTAACTCAAAACTCAATGTTAATTTAAAAAAAAAAAGAAAAGTATCACACAGCTATTTTTAATACTAACAGTTTTACTTGTGTCAAGTCTAAAATAAAACTCATCTATAACAATAATACTCAGTAGTGTTGGAGAACATTAAAAACATTAAAAACACGAAATTTCTATTTAAAAAAAAACCTTGGCCTATAACAGAACATCTGTTAAGCCCCTTTATGAGAAGGAAAGTATGAAGGCAACGAGTGTCAAGTACCATTGGAGTCATCAAAGTCTGGACAATAGAAAGAAAATGCGTCTTTTAGATAAGCATTAAATGTTTGCTAAAGCCTTGACACCGACAATTCCAAGAGAATTTGAGTGGCTTCCCAGAATTTCCAAAAGAGAATGCCAAGACCCATTCACTTAATTATAAAACAAAATATGCTCCAGCTTTCCAGCAGCATCAGGGCCTCCTGACACTTCATTAAAGTGGTTACCAGAACGCGGAACACTCACCTCTCCTGTTCCATTTTCATTCGGAATGTTTCCTCCTCGGACGCCTGCATGTCTTCCATTTTCGACTTGCTTGAACTCTTGCGCTCGATTTTGTCTCCCACCCTCTCATCCTTGCGATGCTTGCCAAACCTGGAATATCGGTTAAGGAAAGTTTTAGGGCTTGAAGAATGTTTCATCTACATGAAATACAGATTAGGGTGGCACAGTCAAAAAGCGGTCAGTGTTGCTGAATCACAGCTCTAGGGGCCTGGGTTCAGTTCTGGGTTGAAGTACATCTGTGTGGAGATTGCATGTTCTGCCTCTTGTCTATGTGGATTTTCCTTTGGCGCTCCAGTTACCTATAACCTTATAAGACATGCTAGGTTAACTGATGTCCCCGGTCTCGTGATGGGCAGGCATTATGTCAAGGACACAGTCCTGCCTTGTCCCTCACTGTGTGTGTCCAGGAAAGGCTCTGTTTAGTTTTCTGTAAACCATCCCAAGACTAAGCAGTTGACTGATAATCACTACAAAAAGTGAAGCATAGCTAGCAGCCTTCTTAGATGTCCTTAGAGAAAATACCTGAAAGAAATTTAACAAAGTTCCGATAAAAGACCGACTTCTAACCATGTCATCACATAATGCTTTCCCAAAACTATAGCTGTATATAAAATATTTAATGATTTTTTCAAAGGACTGCAATCCTTTGATTAAGGCTTTTATAGACTAGCTGTCGGAGACACTTTTAATAAATCAGCTTAATATTCTCTAAAAGTTCAATAAAGACAACCTGTTTAACACTTTTTTTCTTTGAGACAAAATAATAAACTATGGTATTGAAGCCCCCAGAGAAGATACTTACTTTTCAATCACAGATACAAACTTGTGATGAATCTGTGCTGTGCTGGAAAAGAAACCCACCACAAAAAGGCTCTTGCTATTTCCACCTTCATCTTCGCAGTTAAACTTTACATTTTAATGACAGCCTGACACTGAAAGTGCATAAACTCCAAAGTACATTACAGAGTGAAAATAACACCACACATGAAATGAAAATATATATCGAGCATGGTTAATTCATCACAAAGCCTATCTCTCCCTATCTGTCTATCATGATCTGTAAATTAACAGTGCTGTAGCCTCATTGAAAAATGTGTTAGAAAATGATGAAGCAGAAGAATGCCTCACGAGTTCCTTACTCCATAATTTCTGATGCTCTTTCATCAAAACTGGCTAATGTAAATGGATTCACAAAGAAGTCAGTGTGGGCGTGACCCAAGATCAAGAATTACTGTGCTTTTCATAAGGCACAGTTTTCGGCACTGGTGGTCAGAAGGTTTCATTCTTTGTGTTATAGTGCCTGGGTGTAGCTATGAGGACATACTGCATGCTAATTCAGCGACAGGACATGTTACAATTTTATAACAAGTTGAACATATTTCCTCTTGTAGAGCCATCTGTGCTGGGACTCTCCCTATATGTACAAATGAACAGTTTAGCACTCCTTAGGAGCGCTACAAAATGTCTAAGATTTTAGGTGGTGTGGTCCCGAGTACTGAAAAATGTCTACAGTAACATGACACTAATTAAATAAGTGGAAGCAAGAGTATTTAATATTAAAGAGGTTCAGTGAAGAAAAACAGAATACCAAAAAAGCCAGTGTCTACTGATTTTGAGCAACATATTTGATCTAATTTGTGTATTTTTAAATTTATAAACTAAAAAAAAATATTGGGCCAGTCTCATTGTGCATGCTGAAGTCTCAAGTAAATGATCCGACTAAAAAATGACTGAATTCTTCTGAGCTCCCAAGATATCTCATTAATATACAACAGAATAATGGCTTTCCACAGAACAACTATCTTTAGTGAGGTTTGTCCATACACTCAATCCACATGCCAAAATTAATACGTACCACATCCATTATGAAAATTACTATTTCATTTGTTGATAGGGCAATGGAAGCCATATAGTATTAGGATGTGCAACCTCCATCAATTTGAATTTGCTGCATAATCACTCCACTTGAATAATGTTTATTTTAGATTATTTTGGTGCTTAAGCTTGGCACTGAATTTTGAAATACAAAATGAATCAGATACAAGGATTTAAATATTTACTTGAGGCAGATTTTACTATTAAACAGGCTTTATTTAAGAAAAATGCTAATTCTTATTAGATATATAACAATTCAAGTTTAAATCATCCTTCCTATTTAAAGCAAGCACACAATAGTGACCAGATTATTTATTTCTGCTTACTGCTGTGAAGGGAAAAAGTAATCTCCATCTTTTCAAAGGATTTTTTTCCCACATCTAGATGCAGCTAGGGGTGAGATCACTGCTAAATAAGAGCCTGTTAATTATATTAGAAACAGAGTTTTTGTAATACAGATACATTACCCGATTAATTAATCAACAAATGGTTAGACTAAAACAAACATAACAAAAAAAACAGACTGAAACTCTTATAATAAGAGAATCACTGCTATTTATCACTACAGGTAGCAGAAACGTACTGCAGTTTCATTAAATGGAAATACATTTGGAGACTATATTCTGTACCATTTACAGTAATTGCATTAGAAAAGTAAAACGTATACATACAGAGAGAGCGCATCATAATAAAATGATTCAACCAAGGGAATGCAGTAATTTCAAATCTTTTCCACCTTGGAAGATGTTCTGCAGACACTGAGGAAATTAACAAAACTGTGAACAATTACATTTGCACCACTGCCAGAGAACAAAAATTATGAGTCAGAGATCTACATGGAACTAACTTCAAGGTGGGACTGACAGCATTTAGACAACTGTAGTGCTTCACCAGTTTCAAGGGAAACTAAATTAAATGGCACACAGCTAGAAGTGTACAATTACTGTATGTGCACTTGGGTCAACTAATATCACCAAAGGAAAAACATGTCTGAAATAAAAAAAAAACAATGTAGTGGAGAACATTTCCAAGATTCAGCATTGCTCTAAAGGGAAAACTGTTTTTGTGCCATAAAAGTACAATCTTGGACAAATATTTGCCGCACATGAAAACTGGACCTTGAACACAAAACTGATATAGAAGCGACAGAAGATCCACAGAAACATAGGAAGATGCATGATCAGAATAACAAGAAGAGACAGAAGGAGAAAGGAATGGTTTAGAGCACAAAGAAGAGAATGTGATTTCACTGTGAGGACTACAATAGGACTGAGCTGCACACAGAGCTATAAGAATGGATCAAGCAGACAAGCAGAAAAAAACAAGGACAATGATACCCTGTATAAAGATAAAGTTGAGGACAGGTGAAAGTAGATGTGTAGCGTCTAAATTGAAGATAGAAGATGCTTAGTAGATCATACAAATGTTAAATATATATCATCACAAACAGCAGGTTTTCTAAAACTACTTGTTGATGGAGGCCTCTGTAAGACTCCTCCAGACTACTCTGCCCCAACTCTTCTCCCATCTTCTTTGTTATCTTCCTCTGTCGTTTGTTTCCTGGGATCCATCAAAAGACTCCATCTCTGATCTGTTCCTTTTGTCAGGTGTTTACTAATGGACAAGCATCTTTACTCAAAGTTGGAGATCTATGTTTTTCTCTCAAACCCAGTTCTCACTCTCTCACTATGTTTTCAGCTCTCTTCTTTGTCTGTCTGAAACATTTCAAGATTCCTCAGAAAAGCACACTTCTGCAAACTGATTCCCAAGGCTGCTTGCAAGGCTTTTAGAGATTCAAGGTAAGAAAATCCAAGTGGCCAGTAATATCACACAAAAGTTACACCTTATGTCAATTCCAGTAATTTGCCCTGCTTTGTGGTTTAAATAAAATCTTACTATTTCATTTTGAAGGGCACAAAGCCTCACAATTATGCACCCTACTTACCATTATCATTCTGCAGCAACTCACTGTATTTAACCAAAACAGCTAGTAAAATTGCAGGTTTACTAATCACATCACATCACTTTTTTTTTAATCCTCAAGCTTTAAAAACTTACAGCACAGGACAGTGTAGTGAAAATTGCATTCAAATGAATTTAATGAATGAATTCATTTATGAACATGTTATAAAGCCTTTCTCTTTCCCAGTCGGAAAAAAACTGTTTGTGACAAGGAAGTTTAACTTCTGTAGATCAAAACCATTTTTTAAAAAGGTCTTTTTCAAAATTGACTTCTATCATGGTGTGGGTTTATAGTGGCAAGAAGCAAAAATAAATTATCTCCATTGAAAATGACAAGATTCAACACAAAATCTAATAAAAAGGAGAAGCTGGACAGTGCCACATAAAATTGCTTGATTCATCCCCCTACAAGAGATCTTGCATCTGGCATTTTTTACATCTGAAAGCAGTGCTGACAGACAGCCCTCATAAATTACCACCAATCTTCAAACTACTATGAAATCAGACAGGGGAAACTGGTTTCACACGGTTCAGAATGTCATCTTTGTTTTTATCTCCAGCACACAGCACCTCCAGAATTTCCAACACATGCTAGTACGGACATGACCCAAAGAGAAGCAGCTCTCGGTTTTTACTACAGAGACTTCAGGTTTACAATTCTGTCACATCCTACAACGTTGCCAGCACAAGCCGCAAGTTATTGTGTTTTGATTCAAAGTGGGGCCTCATGTTGACAAAATTACAGACAAACACAGTGGTTTGGCATGTTAAACAGAATGTGCTTGTGTTTAAATATGGCAGCATAAAAAAAGCTTGTTTTTCACAAACATCTCTGCAATGTTTACTCCCACTCACATCCGCTTTCTCCATCATTTCCATCACTAATGATGAAAAAGACAATGCTTTAAGCACTGTAAAAGATGAGCTAACCAAAGTCATTTATTAGACCATAAACATTTTCTAGTCACCCGTTTCAGTTCATGGCTCTGGGTATATTAAAGTGTCCCCAGCATTGTTTCTCTACCCAGTATAAAAAACTGGAGCCTGGAGGCTGTACTCTAGGATCAGCTGCTCAAAGGATGTGGAATAATCTCCCAGTCCGTAACAGAATCCACATCCAAATCTTAAACATCTTTAAAAACCCACTCTACCTTTTTACCTTTAATTGTTTAATTTACTGTATTCACTTCTTTTTGCTTCTTTTTGTTTTATTGTATAGAGCTCCAAGATGATATACCATAAAAGCACTATCT